GTATTGGGGTTAGGTGTTACACGGTAAACTTTCAGAAAATTTTAAAGTGTTTCCTCATTTACTTTCTCAAGACTTGCTTTCTTCAACGCTCTTTTGAACTTTTTCACGAACCTTTCCGCTTGTCCGTTCGACCTTGGGTGATATGGCGGTGTCGTAATATGCACAATAGTGAACATCTTAGAAAAGTCTTCGAATTGCATTCATCGTATCTGCTATTTCGTATCTCGTTCATGCAATAAATTCACTCTCACTGAAGATGTTGGATTTTTGCACTTACAAATTTCCGACCATTTAGTGAAATTATCAACAATCACAAGATAATTGTGATCCATTCATAAGACCTTCATAATCTATATGCAGTCTTGATCAAGACGTGTTTGTTTTTAGCCAAGGTCCTATCTTTGTGATAGGTAGTTTTTTTTTGCCAGAACACACCATCTGCAAGATGTAACTATTTTTCAATATACGATTCTTCTCACCAGAGATTTCATTCTTGAAATACCAGGATATCAGCTATGAATATCCTTCAATATTCGCTTCTGTAACACACTAAGTGTTACACACTTCTGTAACACTAAGTGTTACACACTTCTGTAACACTAAGTGTTACTGTTGGAATTTTGGGGTACTCTGGTGTACTAGTGAGCCAACCAAAATGAGCTGACTCATTTTATAGTTCACCAATAGAAGGGTTAACCAATCAGAAGGCTCAAAATATTCAATGCGATGTGTATAAAGGCGGAGATGTTTTTTCCCGAATATTCACTGCCAGCCTATGATATCGAAGACTGAAGAATTACGGAACAGCTGCTGGTGGTATTGGCGATATAGTCAGATTCAGTAGAGTGTCTGACTCGTGAGTGTTAATCTTTAACACTGTTTCATTGAACAGATTACGTACTGAGCTGTATTCTATATTCATAGACTATGGTGAACAGTTACAACCATTTGCCCGAAAATTACTACACCGTTGTATAACGAGTAAGCGTTTAAATCTGGATTTCTTTCTTTCTTACTTTCTTTCAATTGCTTTTTTTATTTTCGCAATAAAGACGTAACTTTCCACTTTATCTTGTATTTCTTCCAGGGTAATTTGTAATTCTCATACTACGTTGTACATTTCGTTTTTTAGTGCTGTGTCTTCAAATGGCTACGCATTTTTAGGTATACATCTTGATAATCCATACGCATGTCTTAATTTTTTAGACGGTTGGTACTCCATCGTACAATTATAGTTTAACTAGATGGTACCCCAGTGTTGGAGTCTATTAGCTGTATACGTAGGTATTCCTTTCTTTAAACCATATATTGTTAATAGTGTGCAACCTAAAATTTCTTCCAATAATAAATTTATGAAAATTTTTCACAGCAAATATAATTGCTAGGGCCTCTTTTTCTATCTGTCGGTAATTTTTCTTTGCTGGTAGAAGCGAGCGTGAAGCTTGAGCGAAGGATTTTATTTTACCGCTATCTTATTTGTGTAAAATCACTTCTCCAATACATCTACTCACTAGCATCTGACGACACTACAATTTATGCTTTTGGATCGTAGTGTGCTAATGATAAATCTGACATAAGTTTTTTTTTTTTTATTTCATCAAACGCCTTTTGACAGTTATCAATCCACTTTACTCTTTTTTAAATTGATCGTTTAGTGGAGCTTTCAAATTATGCATATAATGTGCATATATTTGATAGTAATTATCCAATCCTAGAAAAGCTTGCAACGTTTGTTAGTGGAGGCATATTTTCCATTGCATTTGCTCTCGACGGATCTGATTGACGACAATTATTGATATAATTTGAAAAAGGTATTTAATTTTTGGCAAAAACAATTTGATAATATTCTTCGCCATTTAACTTCGAAAGAATTTCCCCTGGACTTTATAATGGGTAAGTATATATTTCTAAACAACTGTTCAATCCTGCCGAGAAATCCGCGGAAACACGAATTTTATTATTTTTTTCTTTACAGACATCGTTATGCAGGCCATTTTAAATGGTTAGTTTTTTTTTATTACACAAATTCTTTCGAGTCTGCCCAACTCTTCATTGATTTGTTCAAATGCTTCAAATGGCAGGCCCCGTTTCGGCAAAATAAGGGTGTCAAAAATACGACTTGAATTTTAAACAGAGACTCAGTTCATTTTTAAATTTGTCACTTGTCCACTTCTTGTCCGTTTGTACAGTAAAAGTTTCTCAGCAAATCCCAAAGTTCAAATAGATCCATCTTGACAGTACCGAATAAAGCTTTAGTTTTTACATGCTTATTACGGAATAGATCATTACAAGTAAAACAAAAGTAATTTATCACCAGAAACTGCAATCACGAATTTCCAAGTCCTTTTTCCAATTTCTTTCCATGTCTTTTCACTGATTATTGAAATATCACTACCAGTGCCCAGTAGTATTTTCACATCCACATTATTTATTTTCACATTCACAAATTTCCTTTTGTTTTCTGTAACCATTTATTCCGTGCACGAATTTCTTCCTATGAGAATTTTTTCTTGGTTTGGTTCGCAGTGTGACTTTATACGTCCTCATTTACCACACTTGTAACTTTCTGCATTTTTAAATGGACATCATTTCCAAGGTATTATTTACCACATATAAAACAAGGATTTATTCCCTTTTTGTACATTTCTCCTTTGCTTGTACCAATGCACAATTTTTTTCAGAATTTCACAACATCCTATTTCAAACTTAGAATTGCCTCGCATTCGTCCACTATTTCTTGCAATGTAATATTACTGTTCTGTTCAATTTTCGTTAACATTTTCGCTCGCAACTATGTGTTTAATTTTGTTTAGTAGATCCGTTGTGTATCTGATGTAAGATTTTACTTACTTAGCTAGGGGCAGTATATAGCGATTTACATATTTGGATATTTTAGTTGTGTGGCAGTTAAATGATGGAATGACCGTCATTCGTGGGTTGTTATTTTTTTGGATTTTGGGAATACGATTGAAGCGGGCAGGGGTGATATTTGTAGGGGTAATTGTTGTGCATGTTTCCTTGTCAATTAGTGTATTTTGAAGCATCATATTTAAAGTGCTTGTTAAGATTTTTGGTATATATAGATAAATAGATAAGAACAGGTTAAAATGTATCAGAACACAGTAGCATACATAGATACGAATAGACTGTGACATATATTAATTTAATCACACACACACACACACACACACATATATATATATATATATATATATATATATGGATAATAAATTGCCATAGATAAATAGATAGAAAGAAACAGGTTAAAATATATCATATATAGTGGCAGATTGATATGAATAACTGTGGTATTTGAATTTAATGATAGATAGATAGATAGATAGATAGATAGATAGATAGATAGATAGATAGATAGATAGATAGATAGATGTAAAATATATCAGCACATAGTGGCATAGATAGATACGAATAGACTGTGATATACATGAATTTAATAGATAGATAGATAGATAGATAGATAGATAGATAGATAGATAGATAGATAGATAGATAGATCCATCAATCAATTCAGCGGAATACGGAGTTGTCATCCTGCCCAAAGATTTCTTGCCCAAAACTTTAAGTGCTTCCAAGCTTATGACAGTCCATTTGGCATCTAAATTTGTTCCCTGACAGAGGAATTTTGTCCCGATTATCCATGCAGCAAAAACAAAATCGATTTAATTGCGAAGAAACAACACAATCCATTATCTGCCTACCTATATATGAGCACCAGCGAGTGTATACGTATATATATATATATATATATGAATGAGAGAGAGAGGGGGAGGGAAAGACAGACAGACAGAGAGTGGAAAATAGAGAGCGAGAGGGACATATGCATGTCTATATGTATGCAGAATTACTTGTCTCTGCTTATTATTCTGAGAGGACAGAGAAAAACATTTCAGGACAGACCAAGAAAGTAATCCAAAAGATATTTGGTCTTTTGTTTAGATTTAGATAGTGAGTCAGGCTGAGGACTTTTCAACATCAACAATGTGGAAATCATATATAAGCTATTAATTCAGTTTACATAGACGCCGGAATAGACGAAATATGAACCTATTTTGAAGGGTTTCGTGTTCATGACTTAGAGAAAAGCCTATACATTAGATTCTTAAATGATGCAATTCCTATTTGGGTATGCATCGGAGGAAAAATCGATAAAAGCACGAAAAAGTGAAAATTGAAAAACGTGGCTCGATTATTTGGATATAGTTTTGTATTACTGATTGGACGGAACTATTTACTTACCTGGCGTTATGCTGGGGGTTTTGACAAATATTGGATCGTTTCTTGGCCTTAGGCTGAGATCCGATCAAGGCTTCGACTAGCTTGGACTGGCTCCGGCCTGGACTTGCTAGGACAAGTCATGACCAGCTTTGACTAAGCTCTGACCAGCTTGGACATGCTATGACCAATTTTGACCAGTGGCCTTTGAGTGGAAACACTCGGGTTTCCCACGTTAATCGACCTTGTGTCACATCTTGACCATGTGAGAGTCAAGTAAATACCTTTACTGATTGAACGGGACTATTCAGGTGTTTACGTTCTTTTATTAAATATATGCAATTATCCATAACATATAGGTATCTATTTACAATATAAATAGGCGTATGGCCACATCATGTTGAAACATTGGTTCCCGAAGGATCACCGAAGTTAAGCAACGTCGAGCGTGGTCAGCAGTGGTGACCGCTTAGCAATACCAAGTACCGCATGTTTGGATATGTGAGTGGTATGGCTTACGGCTATATCACACTGAAACGCCGATTCCCATACGATCACCGATGTTAATATGACCAGTATCTAGATGAATGAACACTTGAGATATTCAGCTGCTCCATACTTGAATGTGCGTGTAGTAATTAATAGCTTATGGCTACTCACGTTAAAACACGGCTTCCCGTAGGATCACAAAAGTTAAGCAACGAGATGGATGACCGCTTGAGAATACCACATGCTGTAAGCTTGGATGTATAGGTTGTAAGGCTTACAGCTATATAAGGTTGAAACACCGATTCCCGTAAGTTCAGCGAAGTTAAGTAACGTCGAGCCTGGTCAGTACCTAGATGGGTGAGCGATTGGGCATATCAGGTGCTGTAACATTGGATTTGCCGATAATGTAATGGAAATTTTTTATCGAAGAGCCGAATTTCAGATTCGTTCTAATAATTTGGATTCGTTCTAATAATTTGCGGGCAAATACCGAAAGGCATGAATCCATTCTCCCCCACAGCTATTTGTTAATCAGAAAGACTTGTATCCCTAAATTATGATTATCTAAAGAAAAAAAAATAGGCACGCGGTCTTGTGGGTGATTATTTTTAACAATACTTAAACCTCCTTCCCACCAACGAAACATCGCTATAGCGGCTCGGATTGTGAAATCGAAGAGCCGAGTTCGAATTCCAGTCGAATCCATTTAATTCATTTACGTGCTAATACCCTTGGCAAAGGTATGAATCATCATCTTCTCCCCTCCCCAGCTATGGGTAAATAGCAAGACAGACCGGGTCCTTGGATAGCAACTGGTCTACCGCAAACAGAAATGGCAAACTACTACGGGAAAAAAATCTGCCTCGTCAGTCATGTGTCGAAAGATTTCATGGCGGGCTACGTTCCTTGATTCCATCAGTTCAGACCGACACAGATTGGACGTGTCATGCTATCCTCTCTCTGTATATATTGTCCTCATCCCATTCATATTCTAGAATATTATTAAACTAACTTCACCTCATACTGGATACTAAGCAACGTCGAGCGTGATCAGTACCTGGATGTGTGACTGCTTGGGAATACCAGTTACTGTAAGGTTACATGTGCCGGTGAAGTGATGGCTAATGGCTCGGAATTGTTAATCGAAGAGCCGAGTTCCAATTTATTATATTCACTTACGCTCAAATATATTTGGGGAAAGGTATGAATCCACCTCTTCTCCTCCTACTATGGGTTCATTAGTAAGATTTGTATCGTTAAATCATTATTAACTCTCCCTCAAATTATTACAATCTAAAGTATTTTCTGGTCTTAAATGATGTTCAAAGGGCTGATAATCCGTAAAAAAGTAATGAATCAATGAAAATATAAATACTTTTATACAAAGTACAAACACTTAATTCCAAACAGTCATTCGAATTTTGCTATTTTGATCTAGAGATATTAAGTATTAAATATTACATAATATGGCGAATACTCTAGGATTAGGATTTTGAAAAAATATTTAGTTTGTTATACAAGAAGTGAAATAATAATTAGTATTTCATTGACTGGTTCGTTTTTTACGGCTTATCAACTCTTTCCAGGTTATTTAAAGCCATAAAATATTTATCGATTGCAAGAATTTTTTTTGTTTTTTTTAGATAATAATGATTTATTGATACACGTCTTACTGATGAACCCAAAGCTGGGGGAGAAGAGCCGGATTCATACCACTACTCTGGATATTTGTAAGTAAATATAACGAACCCAAGTGGAATTGGAATTTTCCCATTAATGATTCGGAGTCATTTTCCATAACACATCTCATATCAAAGCTTACAGCACCTGGTATTAACAAGTGGTCACCCGTCTAGTTAATGACTAAGCTCAACGTTGCTTAACTTCGGTGATCATACAGCGTCTCAAAGTGATGTGGCCGTAAAGCAACGCAAATGGCAAATGAATACTTTGAGATAAGTTAGGGTGTTAGACCTCGAGAAAAAAAGAATGGAAAGAGAAGTAAAAACAAAAAAGCAATGAGAAGAAGAATAAGAAGAAGAAGAAGAAGAAGAAGAAGATGAAGAAGAAGAAGAAGAAGCAGAAGAAGAAGATGAAGATGAAGAAATAGGAGATATGTAAAACTAAATTAGTGAAAGAACATGTGAACAGGAGAAGTAACGAAGAAGAATGTGCAAATGTTGTCTATATGCATAATGTGTGCCTGAGTCCCCGACATTAAACCGATCTTTTTTTCTATATGCGTCTGAGGTCCCACATTGAACCAACGACTTTTCACGTTTTCCCACGCAAGAGATAAATAACTACTTTCAGAGAAGTTAGGATTTTCGTTTCACTAAAGCACTTACCTTCTGAATAAATTTACCCCCCATACATTTACATAAATATAAGTAAGCATTGAATAAAAGCACTTTTGCTCTAAAGGAAGGTACATATGTAATTATAAAAGAACTTTATATTTTTCGTGCTCAAGATCCCGGTCCCTTTTCTTTTGTTTCTTTTGAACGCTAATGACTTTTTTTCTATAGAAACCACGCATCAAATATTTTCAAAAGTCAAGAAGGCCTTTACAAGTAGATTCTGAAACTGGAATTTATGAAAATTGTGTTCTAAAATATTTCAATGGTTTAATACATTGAGGCAAATATGAATAATTTTTGGTAATTCGAAATTCACCGGAAACAAAAAAAAAGATATATAAATGTACAGATATATTTCTAATTATTTCTGGTTGAACCAACAATAAGTCTTTCTCTAAACTCAGATAAGCGCAAACGTAACAGCTGCTAGGGAAAGGTTAGAAATTATTGAAATCTCTAAAAGTACATTTCATATGGCCTTATGCCAGAGTATATGTAGTAAGAAATAAATGTATTTTAAATTACCTCGCCAAACAGAGTTAAATCGAGGTTAATAAATACATATATATATATATATATATATATATATATATATATATATATATATATATTATTAATAAAAGGGATGGAATATAAGGGAAGAGAAAAAAACTTAATTGGAAATGAATTGGAGACCAAGGACTAAAATCCTTTTGTTTTCAAAGTGAAGGATAAAATATATATAGCCTCCAATATCTTACGGTGGTAATTTGAGTAGCACCTACTTAGGATGGATTACGTGTTTACACTGTATTTACTTGACCCCCCCCACTGAATCAGGTTGTGACACAAGGTCGGTTATTAACGTGGGGACCCGGGTGTCTTCACTCGGGCCGCTGGTCTTACTTAGTCATAGCTTGTCCAAGCTGTTCACAGGTGGTCTAAGCTAGTTGTAGCTTGTCTTAGCTGGTTCAAGCTGGTCAGACCCGGTCCAAGCTAGCCATATCTGTGATACTACCAGCGCAGGGACGGATCCCTTTGACTGGTAAGTATCAGAATGTGTATACCACGAGAGAGAGAGAGAGAGATGAATTTACACAGTGATTTCGAGTCTACACTGAAATTAGCCACACAATTGCGGTTATTTGTGAGGTGTTCCACAATGGAAGACCCGTATGTATAGATCAGGGCAACTGATGGTGAATAATTAGAGATCCGGATTTTTGTAGGCACGTGATGTTTAATCCCAGCATCCAGCCTTTGAGTCGTTCTTTATACTGCAACTACATTTAAATAAATAAATGAATTATTATGGTGAAGTGGAAGAACATCTTGGCACATGGATGGTAGGACAAGTTTAGCTGAGAAAACCATATGTGTATTAGCAGCAAAGTAACATTGTTGAACTATGGAACCCGTTTAGTAAATCTGTCACTAATACTACCTAGTCAAGCAAGACATAGGTACACGGGACATTTCTGTACTGAAATAGGTTTGACTTTATTAAAATCCGAAATTTTATTTTTAATTATGGATTGAATAATATCTAAAGGATACGTATTTTTGCAGATAGCAGTAGTAATAAACCTTATCTCATCATCCAGTTTGGTTTTAGAACAGATCTTTAAGGCACTATGGATAAGAGTCTTAATTAAATTTATTTTATGTTTTATGGGACAAAAAGAGTCCCAACGGGTATACAAACCAGTAAACGTCGGTTTTCGATAAATTGAAGTGAGAAAACCCGACGAAGTTCGATGAATCAAGACATGAAGAAAAGGAAAGGAAGAGTTTAAAAGGCTACAAATAACAAAGGAACACAGGAATCTTTGATACGGGACGAATTCTACCGTTCCAAAACTGGTTGTAATATATTGGAAAGCGACTTAGCCACACCGTGTAGGGAGGACCTTATCATAGACGGAAATGTCTGAATGGGACTCCAAACTTTATGTGTTTGGTAAACAAAAGAGACGGAGACGAATTGAACTAGAGAAATATCAGTAGGCAAAACTCCACATTTAATCCACTTGGCTAGGCGTTTTTAGAACTTAGCCTCAATAGTTAATTTGAAGTCGAACTTATGAAATTTGCCACCATGTCGGTTGAATTCAGTTTATATGGACTTTTGTCCTTTGGTGAAAAAAAAAAACACTTCCCCAAAGTTTTAAAAACGTATTTTTTGACACATATATATATATATATATATATATATATATATATATATATATATATATATATATATATATATATATGTGTATATATATATATATATATATATATATATATATATATATATATATATATATATATATATATATATATATATATATATATATATATATATATATATATATATATATATATATATATATATATATATATATATATATATATATATATATTCATATATATATATATATATATATATATATATATATATATTCTGCACGTTTTCTTAAAGTTATTAAACTTACTAAGGAAGGCAACGTAGTTTTTTTTGTTTGTTTTTTGTTTGTTTTGTTTTTTTGGGGTTTTTTGTTGTTGTTTCACACGTATTTTCAGTCTCACACAACCTCAGACGGTGTAATCGATTTCTATTTTTTACTCAGGTTAAGTCATTTGCAGTAATGTGAAGTAATATGAATCTATTATGGGAATGTATGATGAAATTCATTTGGCCTTGAAAAATATTGCGTCATCCGTGATTGTATCAGATTTTTGTCACGCCCAGATATTATTGTCTCGACTGTCAATTAATTTTCCATTGTCTACAATGGACGTTTTTCCAAGGAAGAGTACGGAAAATGTAATGTTGCACGAACACACTGGCAAGCCTTACCGGTGAGCACATCAAAGTACTATAGACTGGCCTGGAAACTCTCCTGATTTAAATTCAATCGAGAATCTGTAGTCAGTTTGTAAGGAAAGACTGGGCCATGTTTCACTGGGATAATACCAACAAAGAGTAAATAATAACGGAATTTGTTTTTTGTTTCAGTTAATTTACACAAGGGTATATATATATATATATATATAAGTAAACA